TATATATATATATATATATATATATGTAGGAGAGAGAGAGAGGGTCGGAGATACGAGAGTGAGTGACTGAGACAGCACAGCAGTAGCCAAACAGCCAACAATCATTACTTCTGCTCTAGTAAGCCCCTCACCCTCAATACCCCCATGGCTTTAAATCCACGGAGCAGCAAATACTTGTGCCCAGTGTTGAAATTCCGATTGGCCTCAGGGGGCTGCGCTGCCACACGGAACCCCTCTGTATCTGCTTGCAAAACCAGAGGATACCCCTGAACCCATAAGCACACTTCTGAGAAAGGCCACTTGCTTCCAAAGGCAGACACAGGCGAAGGGGGAAGCCCCTCACGTGCCTCGCGCCACTCCAGACCAGCCTCTGTTGCCACCTCTGCAGCAGCAGCCACAGTAACAACAGAGGTTCAGATGCACGCAAATACGAGACGCAGAGCTGGAGACGGACGCAGTCAAGCTTTCCACTTCGCCACAGAGCAGCTCTAACAGGGAAAATTGGGAAATAAAAAAGCGAGGGTGAAAAGCACAAGGAGAACAAATTCAAGCATACGCAATGCCAAATACACCATATGGGCAGCCACAGAGATTCTGAGAGCACGACTGAAGCTGATGCGAAGAAAACAACACAGAAGCACCACCCACCCAAACAGTGCACCGACAGAAAACAGACAATGCAATTTGCCCCCTCGCCGCACCTCTAACCTCCTCAAGGAGCTGCCGCAGTTCAGGTTGCCTGTCGCCTTTCCACCGCACAACAGCCTCGGCATGAGCCCTGAAAGTTTGCTGCTGCTCCCCTGCTGCTGCGAGCTGCGGAGTTTCAAGCTGCAACAGCCGGCATACTTGCTGCAGCAACACCGCAGGCTCACAGTGGCTGCAGTATGTGATGCAGTCAAGTGCAGTCATAAAGACAACCGGGCACCACGCCACTGGCTGTGTTGATACTGCAGCTGAGGCTCCTGTCGCTGTCGTACAGTCATCTGCTGCTACGCCAGAGATCCTCGTGGCGTCAACACCAGCACAGTCACTACCACCAGCAGCACCATGCCTGCTCTTCGGAAGCTGCGCATCCACTGCAGCGACATCCTGCAGACGCCATGGCGCGGCCCCCCTTGCAGTGAAATCTGGGGTAACTAGTTCTGAATCGTAGCTACAGTGACCCTTCTGAGCTGCAAGTTCCTCCCAGCATGCAGCTTCAGGAGACACCTGAGCTGCAAAGCAGGGAGACAACGCCAGGGCCCTCTCTAGGAGAGTCACGAAGAAGGGCCTACGGTGCATCTCCGCTACGAGAAATGCCCAGCAGAGATGCGAGAGAAACAGAGGCTCGAGGTGTCTGTAAACGCGATAAGAGGCAACAGAGGCAAGAATCGTAAATCCAGCGAAGTACAAAAAAGAAAACCCCAAGCTATCTGCGCGTGCATCTCAGAAGCATGTGCCAAACGCAGCAAATGTCCCTCCTAACCGATCACACGCCACTTACAGCAATACCAGAAACAGTAACCACACAAAAAGCACCAGAAAAAGCAGAAGCACAAGCATTAACAGCCAAGCAGCACGAACAGCCCATGTACCTGTCGGAGGGAGCCAGCCATGACCTGCTTGTGTCCCTGCAGTATCTCCTCTCGACGAATCGGAAAGCACGGGAGAACAGCACTGGGTGTATGTACACCGCAAGAGACAGAGGAAAGACGCAGGTCACTGCATCCCTTAAACTCCGTAGCAAATTGGGCTCGCCCTCCACGCTGCTGCACCACAACTAAACGGAGCAGATAAACAAAAACAAATACTGTTTTTCGACTATGTCGAATCCCTGCAACTCCTGTTCATACCAACAGCAGAAGAAACAAGAACGTATGGAACCAGGGAAAGCAAGTGCAGATGTGGAATTTCGAATGCAACGTGACGACTGCAGTCTGCTGAAGCCTTATTCTTCAAACCCAAGCCCTAGATCCTCTGCGCTAAATCATGACGGTAAAGACACCTGGACAACTGGAAGGGGAAAGAAGGAAAGGCGGGTGAGGGCCTGCATGAACTTGAGTCTCTGGAGAGCGCTGAGGGAATCAAGGGGGCTTGACAAGCTTCCATTGCTACTGTTTTTGTAAGCCCAGGTGCTGCTGCCGCCGCCGTTATCCACTGCCTTGTACATGTTTGCCGTGATGTGCTGCAGCAGCATGTGGGGATAGTGGCCCTTCACTCGAGAAAACGCATCAAGGCAAACGAGCCACAGAGTGAAGTTTACGCTGTATTCGATTTCTGCAGCAGCAAACGCAGTAAAATGAGTGTAGCCATGGCCGGGTAGACGAAAATAAACGGGCGCGGGATGCTATTGTATGCTTAGTTTCTTTTTGTGAGAAGCACGCAGCAACGACACGGTTTCGCCAGTGTATCTGCCTCCAGGCAAGTTGCGGCTCTGTCTATGGGCGCAATACCACATGCAGCGATTGCGGGGTCGCCACTGTCTGCCATTCTTCCCATTTTCCCACTGGAGGTTTCGCTGCGTAGTCTGTGCACCTCACCACTGTGTAAAACGCACGCACCTGTATACCGTGCAGCAACAACAGCCTCAACACGGCGAACTGCAGAACTCTGAAGGCCGTGAGAAGCAACGCAGTCCACCAAATCCACAAGATCATGCAGGGGATGCACTAGCGACAGCGGATCACCAGCAACACCCTCAGCTCCTGCTGCTCCTGCTCCTGCTTCTTCGGAGGCCCTCCCGGAGGCTGCCAGTGGCAGAGGAGGCGCTGAAGCCTCTATAGCCGCCACAAGGGCCCGCGTTAGAACCCCATACTCCGCTGGGGTGTTTGGACACCTCCGTTCTACAAACGTTGCGATGCTGCAGCAGACGTGAAATCAAATAGACAGGAGTGTACAATTCTGCAGCAGCAGGAGCATCGAGGCCGCCAGACAAACATCGGCAACTGACACGTTTACAGAATCCTCATCAACAACAGCAGAAGCCTCGCCCGTGCAGTCAAGCAGCGACAGAAGCAGCATCACCAAAATGTACCAACACCATCCCCTGCAGAATTAGAAGAAACACCAGCAGCATCTTCTGCGCAACAGCCGTAGGATCAGCAGCAGGAGTACCATCCACAGGGACGGCAACGGAAGCTGCAGCAGCAACAGCAGAATGATGCGGTGGGTTTCTCTGCTTACCAGCAGAGTTGCTGGAGGTCTAACGAGGGTACGATGGACGTGAGGAGCACAGCAGCTTCTCTGGACAGTAGAGTCAGCTTCGGATCACTCAGCGCCGGATTCAGATGTTTACAAAGACGCAGCATCAGACGCAGCTGGTAGAAATCCATACTGGTGAGCTGCAGAATAGAACCTTACAATCGCTCCACTTCCCCCTCACACGAGCCCATGCATGCCCGCAAAACGCAGCAGCACTCGATGTACTGACACAAGGAAGCAGTGACAACGCATGCAGTGCATGTAATCAAACACCTCTACACATATGAATAGGTATACGAGTGCAAATATTATAAGCAACTCACCAACTGCAGCAGCCGAGGTGCTGCACTCTCATAAAAGGGCTTCCAATCGGTACAGAAGCGGTAGAGACCAGCACACGCCAGCAGAAGAGAGGCACCGGACATCTCTTGTACAGCAGCCAGCGCCCGCTCGAAGCACCCATCTGCGGTGTATACACACCATAATCAGCAAAGCATCCACAGTCGGGAAAGCACGAAGCAACCCACAGCAAACACTGGAGCAGCAACAGCACCATGAGCAACAACACGAGTGGCCTCGGCGACGCGAGCAGCATTTGCAGCTGCAGTTTAAACCAAAGTAACGATGCATGAGGCAACAGCAAAGGTGTATCACTTCCGGTTATGTGCAGCTCGCCTATCCAGCGCTTGCAGCGAAGGCCCATACGGCCGCACTCAAAGATATAAAGAGCGAGGGTGTCGGCATCAGCCGCAGCAATGTGGTGTGCAGACACCTCCTGCAGCAGCTTTTCACTGAACAACTGGCAACGGCCCAGCGCATGCAGGCACCGCACAGCAGCTTCTGCTGCAGCTATTGCTGCTGCCTTCTCCGTCACTAAAGGCGTGGCCAGTGACCCCCGTGCCTCACTGTTAAGCACCTTTTGCTGCTCCTGCTGCAACTGCTGACGCTGGCATCGGCGCAGCTGCTGTGACAAGCGAAGTCGCTCTAGGGCGCTGCAAAAGAACGCACGGAAGGAAATGAACAACAGATAAGGGTGGCGGGGCTCGATTCTACAGCTCTACATGCATACCACAACACTGACCGCAACACAGCAAGCAGCAGCAGCAACAATGATGCGACTTTCAATGATTTGGATGCGTATCTACATCAACATCCGCACGCGCTTGCTGTTCATGCACTAGCGCCCTACAGGAACAGACGCAGAAAAGTATGCACTTCAGATAAACTCAAAGAACAGGAACAACACAAGGTGAATGAGTACCAGAAACAGCAGCGGCAAGCTGAGCACCAGAAACAGCAGCGGCAAGCTTACAGCAGCAAAGTCGGCACAGCATCTCGAACTGAGGGCTTCATCTGCATCTCCGCGAGAAGCGCTACTGCCTCTGCTGCGCTGCAGAAAAGAGCTGCAGATACTGCTTCAAGTTGATCCTGGTGCAACGCCAGGGGGGTTGGTGCTGCAGCAGCAGTTGCAGCAGCAGTTGCTTTAGAAGCACCGCCACCCTGCTGCAGATATTCCGCAGTACGACGCAGCCTTCGTAAATCCCTTGCAACCTGAAGCTGCCACACAGCAGCAACTTCTGCAACAGCTGTCTCAATGCTTCTTCTTCTGCTGCAGGTGGGCAACCCACCCACTCTGTGAGTTGTTGCAGGTGCTGCTGCTGCGGTCGCAGCTGTTTCCGCTTGACTGAGTTCAAGGGAACTAGTGGCGAACGGCATTCGTGCTGATGTTGCTGCATGCAAAGCCTGCAGGAGCACCACATAGAATGGCGATCCGAAATGTTTCCAAAGCAGTTGTTGGTTGTGCTGCTGCCACACCGGGCTGGCACTTGCAGCAGCAGCAGCTGCTGCTGCTGCTCCTCCTGGTGTTGACGGTTTGGCTGGCCTGAGCACCCTGCAGTAGACGGGATCTGTGATATCATAGACATAGAAAAAAGGCTGCTTCCCCTTTTCTGCTGTATCTGCTGCTGCAGCGAAAGCAGCAGCTGCTTCACGTACTGCAACAGCATCCGCAAGAGGCTTGGTTCCCCCCTTTGTTGCTGCCAGCAGAGGTTTCAGAAACAGAGACACTTCCAAATTTGCAGGTTCCCCGTAAATTTTTGTTGCTGCTGCAACTGCCTGTCGGGCTGTTGCTAGTGTTGCTTGGGTTGCTCCTGCTACAGCATGGGTTGGCAGTGTTGTTCCCACTGGTGCACCAGGGGTAGGCCTACAGACAGATGATATTGCTGCTGGTGGTATTCGAGCAGCCGCCGCAGCAGCAGCAGCAGCACTAGAGTTGTTTCTTATCTGTTGCCGGTCGCTCACCGAGACAGAGCCCGGCAAGTGTCGGGCCCGCCTATTGGCTGAGTATCGGGGTAGCATCCATCTCCGCAGCTGTGTATTAGTTAGGACGCTACTTCTGCTGCTGTTGCTTCCGTTGTGTAAAGCACAAGGGAAAGGTGTGGGCCCCCGGAACGGCCACCTGGGGGGGCCCATAGGCCCCCCTCCACGGAACGGCATCAAAAGGTCGCCCTCCTTGTTAAAACTGAAAAAATGAAGAAATATATCAGCAACAGAAGAAAAAACAACAGCGGTAGACGATACTGGTGCAGCGATAGGCGCTGCAGCAACAGCAGTTCCTGCAGAAGAGGCAATCCTACTAGATGGACCTCACCGAGCAGTTACAGTGGAGCCGGAGGTGACTACGGTTTGCTGCTGTGCTTAGCTGTATCAAATCCTTAATTTGTATTTAGAATTGGTATTTAGAAGTCACAGAATATCTGGATCTTGTCCGAAGTATATAATTGCTGTAGCCAACCGAAATGGCATATCGACTGCTGTAGTGGGGGCCCAAACGTGTCTCGCCGTTGGTAACATTGCCCTTAATATATTTGGTTAAATTTATTTGTCTTTGTCCATTTAATATCACTTGCGACCATGAATAACAGAAGTCTTTTTCCCTCCGGTGCAACTGGGATCGACCAGCACATCCTGCTCCGACTGGCACTATAGCTGCTGCTGTGAACGCCGTCGCTGTTACAGTTGCATAAGCAGGCTGTGTATGACCATTGGTCTGTTTAATAGCTAAATAACTCGCCAAAGATAAGGTGAAAAGACAAAGCTGAGATGCCCATACACTCAAAGCAGTTGGAACCCCTGGCAGGCCGAGGGAGACGCGATGAGGCTGAGCTGCCTGTAAAGCTCACCTGTTCAAGTGGAACCTACGCAGGCTTATTGTGTTGGGGCGGTTACCAAGCAAGTAATGCCAATGGCAATATAGACATTGCATACAATGCAAACACTATATATAATATATACTGCGCTTGCATATGAGGCTCACTGTGGAATACGAGATGCTGTTTCTTGTACGTGATGGTGGCTGGTCCTGACCATGGTCCTTTGCACTTGGATGGACGCAAATGATCCATAAGACAAGTAGTCGCATCGGGACAATCTATGTAATATTTTAATATCTTTTGCCCTCGCAAATTTGGATGCGGATAATATACACAATATATTATGACTTTGAATTAATAACTGGATCTTCATTGATATTGCCCGAATACCCAAGGCAGTGTTCCTTTTGACGATTTGTTCAGGTCTACGGCAAAAACACTGAATACCTGCCTGAGCATAACGCCCTTCAGCCAAATACACAGTCTGCCACTGCTCTTGCAGCTGCGGTCCTTGCTGTGGCAGTTGCTCCGGCTGACACAAACCGCAGGGGAAGGAGATGCGTATACCACGAACAGTGGAGAGGGAGTTGGGGGGTTATGCACAACCGCAGGAGCAGGTACCTCAGCTAATGGTACGGATGTATCACATAGTTGTGGTAACAAGTAGGCAGCTATGGCAACTGAGAACCAACTGCAGAAGGCTCCTCTGATGCAAAGAGGATACAACTGCAGCAAGGAGAAAGCCGCTGCCCTTCAGGGCAAGGCAGAGGGGGAAGAGAGGGAGAGAGCACGAGGGCAGACAGCTAGGAGCCTCAAAGAGACAAACAGGTTGACGTAGAGACGGGCAAGCAAGACACTTGAGGCGGCTTTTAGATGGGGACCGCTGTATCCTCGGCGATTAAATGCACGGGTATATTTAAGTTTATCCACAAGAGAGACTGCTGGATAGAGACATGAATAGCTACAGCACATTCAGTTTGGTTAACAACAGCGGAGTATTGGCAGCCCTGGGGGCGCGGCGGCAAGACTGTCCCATTCGCTTAAGGTGTGCTGTAGCTCTGTTGCCTTGCTGCTGCTATTGCTGGTGCAGCTGTCTTTGCCGCTCCCCACTCTGCTGATGCTCCTGCCAAATTTACTGATGCTGCACTCCCTTGAAGGTGCACTGTAGAAAGTGGTGCCACAAATGAGGGGGACAGCGGCAGGAGCTCCCAGAGTCCAAGCCCGTTTCGCTGCTGCCGCTGCAGCTGCTGCTGTTCCACTGTTCCCAAGCAGGTCCTCTTCTGGCAGCACAACCAAGAAAGCCAAGCAAGCAGGCTGTTGCCGTTCCAGCTGTGGCACACTGAATCCATCGCTGCTGCGGTGACGTTTCGTTGCCGTTGCCTCTGCAAATGGATTGGGTGCAGCAATCCACGTGGCAACTCTCCTGCAACAGCTGCTGCTCGGTCCCGTCGAGCCGACAAGTTCCCGGACAGCTGCATTAGCGCACTGCATGGCAGTGTCGGCAGCAGCAACAGCAGCAACATCAGCCTCTAAGGATGGGTCCTGATGCTGCTGCTCCATGCATGCGACCAGAGCAGACGCCTCCATGAGCTGCTGCAGCTGGTCAGGCGAAGAATCGCCGGCAGCAAACAGCCGTCTCTGCCCTGCAGCAAGCAGCAGCAAGTCGTAAAGCCGCACAGACGGATGCGAAGCAAGACAGAAAGAACGCCAAGCAGACAAAGATACCCAGGGCGAGCTCACAGTGCAACAGCAGCAACTGCCAACAGCTGCAACACGCAGCACCTCTTCACACCGGCAGCTGCTGCTGGTGCTCCGACTGCTGCTGCACTGCCGCAGTGGAGGAGGATCAGACGCTGCTGCGGCCCATGCTGCAGCAGCTGCTGCAGCTGCCAAAAATGCTGGAGCTTCGCGTTCCACAGGGTGGGCTCCTGTACCGCTTGCTTTGGTCGTTGCAGCTGCTACTTGTATGCTTTTAAAGACAGGCAGCAACTGCAGCGCTTCCCGTGCCTCATGCGTAGCGGCTTCCATTAAGACACTAGAGGCGCAACATGCGTGCGCCGCTGTCGGTGTTTCTGTTGTTGCTGCTGCCGCCGCTGTTTCTTGTGCCGTTGCTGCTGCTCTTTGAGCTTGTTGCATGCAGTCAAAGACATTTCTGTAACTGCTGCAGAGACATCCGGCAGCTGCAGGCAGAACTGCTCCTTCGCTATGCAGTTGTCGCTGCAGCCACGTCAGCGCAGCGGCAAGAGAGGAGAACCGCCCCGCCTGGTTCTCCTCCCCCTGCTTCTTCTTAGTTTTGCTGACATTCATGTGCAATCTGTGAGGCAGCAACTCCAGGGTTACCTTCTGTTCGCAAAAGCTTATCACCTCCTCAAGTAGCAGGGTAGCAGTGTAGAGGACCAGACCAGGCTGCTGCTCGTCCTTGTGCTTCTCTAATTTGTCATGCTGTGGCTCACGCTCCTGCTCCTGCTGTGGAGGCGTGTGACCGCCTTTCTGCTGGTCCCGTTGCTGCTCCTGCTGTAGCCCTTGCTGTTCCTCTTGCTGCTGTTCTTTCTTCAGTACATCTGCTGCCAAATTCGACGTCTTCAAACGCTTCCTTGCCCCCTTAGAAGCTGTTTCATTATAAGTAGCGGCCTTGATTAAGTTGTGTGGCAGCGCATACGGCAGCAGCAGTCGAAGAGGCAGCTTCACCGGCAGCGAAGGGAGCGACCGACGTCGATGCTTCTGCAGCAGGTCTTCCACGGGGTCGTCGGTGCATATACAGCGCGAGACTGCAGCACCAGGGACATCGTTAGCAGCAACACAAGCCGCTGGAGTACTTGCAGCTGGTGCTACTGGATTCCCACATGTGATATCGGGAAAGTTTGGCGCTGTCATTACATGAGGCAGAGCATTCAAACGCGTGCTGCTGCGCCTCACCTGCGTCGGATGACGCCTTGTTGCCGCACTCTCTGCTAAACTTGGAAAATCATCTGCTGTTGAGCCTGGCGCTGGATCTTTCGTTGCGTCTCTCGAAGGTGCAGCATCAGAGCCCCTGTGAGGATATTCTGACACTGCGGAGGCGTCGGAAGAACTCCCTTTGCTGCTGCGTTGCCTCATTCCCCCGCCAACGCGATGGTCGTACTGCCGCAGGCGTTCCTGCTCCCTCTGCTGTAGCAGCAGATTTTGGTAGTGATAATGTTGTTTCTGATGGTATTTTCCGACGTATGGATAGTATACACAATTGCACTTCGTCGTCCGCTGCTGCTGGTCAAATGGGTACAATCGCGATCGAAGGTGCAGCCGTCGCAGTTGCTGCTGCAGTGGCTACGGTGCGGATCGAGTGGAAGCAGCAGACACGGAACAAGAATCTAGTGGAGTTGTGGATGGATTCTGGCTGCAGTAGCAGCTGCTGTTATCAACTCCGCTGGAATGCAGCACCGGGCAGCGTGACTGGAGGGTGGTGAGGCAGTTTCTGCTACAGCTGCTGCTCAAGCGGCTGCAGCAGCTTGAGCAAAAAATCCCAGAAAGAGAAAGAAGGCATCGCTTCAATTTAATAAGTAAACTACAGGGGCAGCCAGTGCAGGAGTACAAAAGAATCCCTAGCCCTGTGTGCCGGCTCCCACCAGCCCCGGAAGCGGGCTGCAGCAGAAGGAACAGTTGTTGTAGCAGCATTAGCGGAAACAGCTGCATAACTGGTTAATTAGAATAACGATTCCATAAGTGAATGTTTCATTCACTCTTCCCTCGAGGCTTTGGGGCATTATCCTCATGAGCTTAGCAGCAGTTGATCCTGCAGTGGCAGCTGCCGACTACAGCCTACAGCAGCTGCAGCTGCTGCAGCCAACAGAAGCAGCAGGGGATAAACTGGCTCTTGGAGCTAATGTCTAATATAGAGGGACGATGTCACCTTGCGAACTTCGGGGGAGAAGCAAGAGGAGCAACGGCAACAGCACGAGCGGCAACAGCGGCATCTATAGTAGCAACGAAGGAACTGCACCTTCCTTGTTGTTCTAGGACGTGTATTGTCACCTTGGTGCTTCTCCTGCTGTCGCTGCAGCAACAAATTGACGAGGCCTGTTGCAGTCTCCAGGCCAGGTCTTGCCAAGCCTCCAACAGTAGAAGCAGTAGTGCCTGCTGCTCCAAGAGCTTCACTGTCTCTGCCCGTAGGCGAATCTCTAAGGAATTAAGCCACTGCGACTTCTTCGTTGGCCCCCACACAGCGCAGCAGCAACAGCAGCAGAGCGAATTGTTCCTGCGGCAGCATCAGGAGCACCGCAAATATCTACTGCAGCGACCGCAGCAGCCCCCCCAGCAGGAGGCCGGCTGTAGGTCTAGGGACCATACAAACTGGTGCTCTTTCTCGTTCTTGGTGCCTTGGATGTGCAGGGTTCTTGTTCCAGCGCGTTGTGGCGCGGCAGCAGCAGCTTCTGCAGCGGCGGTACGTGCCGGTACAGCTCATCCGCAAGGTGCCTCGATCGACCAGCGGTTCTGTCGCACAATGCCAACAGTGCCATTGACGGCATCTAGGACCGCAGAAGCGGCAGATGCAAAAGCATCAGGAGCAGCAGAAGGGATAAAGCAGGCGGCACCTTCTAACCCTACAGCTCTATCAGCTGCCTCACCACGACCGGCAGTACTCGCAGATGTCCCCCTCTCGGCTGCGAAGGTGCGGACGGTGTGTGGGGCGTCTATAAGCGTAGTGGAGCTGTCGTTCCCACTGCTTGACTCCACACAAAAGTGGGCAGAGCGCCACCTGGACGAGCTCGTCTCCGTTCACCTGCAACAACGGCAGCAACAGCACCAGGGAACTTGGTGCCTCTGCATTACTGCAACGAGGCAAACAGCAGGGGTTGGCACTCGCAGGGGAGACACCGGAGAAGAGAGGCGTTGGGTCTCTGCTGCAGGAAACTTGCATGCAACGTATCTGCTTCCGTGGAAGCAGCAGCAGCAGCGGCTCCTGCTATACTTGCCATTTGTTGCTGCACTTTCTGTACAGCGAGTTTTGCAGCAGCTGGGGATCGCGTGCCCCCAAATCAAGTGGGTTAATGACGTGCTTGTAAATAACAAGAAAATAGCAGGGGTCCTCTGCCAAAACACGAATCGCAGCATTGCTGCTGCAGTTGCTGCTGCTGCTGGGCCAAAGGGATCTGCAGCAGCAGAAGGGGCGCACGCTCCTGATGACGTTGTGGTTTTGATGGGTGTTGGGCTGAATCTCGTTTCTCACCCCATGGCTCAGTTGGGTGACTGCTGCTACCAAGGCAGCACAGACGTGCGTGAGGCGCTGCAGCAGCAACAGCAGCAGCAATGCAAGCAGCAGCAACAACATAAGCAAGAGCTGCTGCGACAATGCAACGACCTGGCCTTGTGGCCCCCCCCGTCCTCTCGTCTGCTTACATCCAATAACCATAACATTAACGGCAGCAACGACAACGACAGCGCTATTAACAACGATTTGTCTGTTGAGGGAGTGTTAGGCCTGCTGCATGAGCAGCTGGGGAAGCTGCTGATGCTGCTGTTGCAGCAGGGGTTCCCCCCCTTCCGAACTGCTATAGCGGAACACCTGGCGTACCTAGGTGAGCGCGTTTCTCTAATGCTGGACGGGAAGCAGCAGCAGCAGCAGGAGAAATACAGCGGCATTGTGGAGGGCCTCGGGAATGACGGCTCGCTCCTTTTGCGGCTCCCAGATGGTTCGTTACAGGGCTTCACCTCTGGAAGGCTTATTATAGATAACCCCAAACCATAGTTACGTTGTTTAGGCTGACGTGGACGGAACGCCCCCGATGAAGCAGAGACAGAGTGGCATTAAAAGGATAATCTGAGCTTACAACTCACAGAAGCAGAGGAATACAGACTGCCGCGACATAAGGCAGGGCATCTGCGGCAGCAGCTGCAGCATGAAAAACGGCGTAAAGCATTCCTTCTGATGCCTTGTAGTGAATATATAATATGTCAGGCCCTGGTATTTTCTGTATAGGTCGCACTTTCTCCTGTGATCGTTGACAGTTACGTATGCTGTCTTTGTTTGTTACATCTGTTTTGTTCTGTATTTGTGATCTTCTCTTAGACCTTTGCTCTGTGTATATCTCATGTGGCCTCTATAGTACTTGGTCCCGCTGTATCCGTTACATTCTGTGTATCTGTCTTTCGCTCTGCCAGTTCTTGTTCCTATTATTGTACCTGCTCCAGGCCCTGTCAGTATTTATGGGTTTCATGTTGCTTCTGCCCCCGTCGCGTCCTGTCACTCGTTTACTTGCATTCGGCTGGAAGTTTGATCTTCGGTGGACGGTTGTTTGGACGTGAAGCACCTACAGGCAACCAATATGCGTCGAGCCGTAAATATAACTTGGAAGCGGATTGCTTGGCGACTATATCGGCTCGGCAGGAACTCACAGACCCAAAGAGGTGTAGTTCAACCTTCATCAAAACGACTCCTGGACGGCAGCTAGTCTGCCAGTGTTCCAACGGAACAGGAGAAACAACAAGCCGGCTGCTAGGTCACCTGGGTGGAACCCCACGTCTCGGATTACACTGTGTTGCAGGTTGTATGCACTCACAAGCCGCCAGTTTCTGATTTGCCACAGCAAAACTCCAAAATGCTCAATTATTGAGAAAGTTAATCAGACAAAAGGGAAAGAACGCTCATTCCGCTGCAATTGTCAGCAGAGGTGTCTTCGTCTCCTTGGGTGGTTGGCTCTTGATACTGCCTCGATGTTCTAGCTTCTAGCTCCTCTTCTAAAGCCTCCCTGGTTGATGAAACAGCTTACCATCTTGGAAAGGTTTACATTATTCAGATTTTATGGTGAAATTAGGTGGGCATAGCAACGACATAGTCTGTCAGTCTCCCGGTGCTGTCTCAGCCGCAGTGGTCGGCTCGAACGCCAGCAGCGGCGTACGGCCGGAGAAGAATTTTAGAATGACCTATTTCCACAATAGAATCTGTTTTTAACTTTATCCCGCCAAAATACTTAGCGTAGGCATAGGGGGTTCTATATGACGACAACTCGTCCTTTCTCTTGCCGTTGTTCGCGCATCTCACCCCACGACAGTCAACCCCTAGTAGCAACACAGAGCAGCAGGATGACACAACTGCAATTGTCGTGTGGGAAGGGCAGTACTGAATAAATATGCTCTTTCTAGGGCGGGGAATGTTTGTTTGAGGGGTGTGTTGAGGAAGGAGGAGCCTTCCAGAAGCATATCGGCCGCGTTTTCGCCGCCTCTTCGCTACACTGGAGGCTTCGTATACACCAACAGCAGGAGCAGGACGAACTATCAGGCCTGGCTTGACGGCACTTTTTCTTGCCTATTTGCTTTTTACTGAGGTGTTCCTTTGCTTTTTTCTCTTCACATGGCGTACAAGCTCGTTGCCGCCGCTGTGTGCTGCTTAGCACTGGCGGCGGCGGTCACATGGCAGGTAAGCGCCCTGACCATCCTCAAATCGTATGCACTTCCCTCAGTTGTGCAATGAACGGTTGTGCAAGGGCAGCATTTCAACTCATGAGCGGTTCGCTTTTACTGTAGAGCGGAGCTGTCGAGCTCCAAACAGGACTGCATCCGTCCGTATTGTTGCTCCAGTCTAACAAGGGTTATGCAGGAGAACACAAGGGCTGCTGGGTCATTACAGGCATAGCGCTGCCCAAATTATTCTCAGCAAACCAAGTGTTGGATCTATGGATGCCTCTTCCTATTCGCAGCGCCTGTACTACACCGACCTTTCTGCCGTTGAAAACTTGTACACCATATTGGCGTACCTAATGGCAAGGCCACAGTACCTCTTACATCTCCATAATATAGCACAATTTCGAGAGAGCTCAGACGCGTATGTTTTTCTGCTTTGCATTAAGGATGGTGGTGAATAGATGGAATTGCCGCCGTGCAGCTCCTGTTGTTGCAAGTATTTGTTTTTGGAAAGAGGGGGGGTTGTTAACACAAAAATGAGCTGTAGTTAGAAAAATCATATTTCCACTATGAGTGTACTTATTGTGCATAGCATGGAAGTATGGAAGTAGCCAATGAGGCGTCTCCGTGCGCTGCTCGGCTTGCAGAGCCATGGGTGACTTCATGATGCGGGAGTCTCAGTCTGTTGCCTTTCGCCTGTCGCTGACTCTGGAAGCGTCCTACAAGTCTCACGCTGACGAAGATGGGCTAGAGGACTGGGCCGTCGCTCCTAAGAACCCTCCGGACATTCTTACATACGACGAGGTGTATGTCAAGCGCAAACTGGAACCGCCGACAGACCCGGAGTCAGTCATCATCGACCGGCCTCATTCCTTTCCCCCCGAAATTCCAGCTCAGCTGCTGCCTCCCCATCCAATGCATCCACATAGTTCTTCGTCTGAACAAGTTGCGACTCAAGAACATGCTCAGCAGCTGAACACGATCAGCATACGTCTCTACACGCCAGCCACCTGTTCTGAGGCAACCGGTTTGTCTTCTTCATCCTGCAAAAGTGTTCATCAGCAGCTCTTCCGCACGACTCGGAAAGCAGTGAGTATTGATGGCATCTATTTTTTCGACATACAGACTGAAGCAATGAGCTTAGAAGGGCTAGACGACCCCTCTCAACAAAAAAAAGAACAGGTGAGCTGTTTTTTCTCACTACTTGGGGGGGCTTAATACCCATTGAGTACACTGCTGCCGAATCACACGGTTTACAAGTCGGCCCCGAAATGTTGGGAAAGTCTACTGGTAATGGTGTACTGCATGTTTGCCGTGCTTTAAAAAGTTACATTTGAGGCTGCGCAGGAACACCGGCGTCCAGTTTTGTTCTTCTTGCATGGCGGTGGCCTCGTGGGTCTTTCGACTGCTTCTTACGACAAACTTATACGCCGTATGACAAACCTTCTAGGTGCAGCCGATGGCATTGTCATCTCAATCGACTACAGGCAAGAATCACTTCTTACGAAACACAACAAGGGATGCTTTTAGGAGAAGAAACAAGTACATATTGGCGACGCCCTAGCCACTTGCATGCAGCCATCACAGCATTCCGTTACTATTAGTATCATTATTACTACTACGACAATTATTATTTTGTGAAATGTGCTGCATATCAGACTTTCGCCGGAGCACAAGTTTCCAGTCCCCATGGAGGACTGCCTTTACGCTATTAGTTTTCTAGTTAAACATGCGCAAGCATTCGGCATTGACAGCAGCAAGTGAATCTCTCTTGAAACAAAGTCTGCCTCGCGCTTATTCTTCCCCTCTTATCAACAATATGAAATATTACTGGGTCAAGAGTCTTCCTTTGAAGCTGAATGATGCGTTCAGTATGCAGTTGCCCCATCTCTTTCCTTCATACCTGTGGATTCTGTGCATATTATGCGCCTCTTTACTTTGACTGGTCTGCAGAATCGCACTGATTGGCGACAGCGCCGGAGGAGCCTTGGTTGTTTCGGTCTTGGGAGAAGCGTTGAGGCTGCCGCAGCGGTACCCTTGGGTTAGCAATGTACGGCATGCTTCGCTGGTATATCCTTCGTTGTGCCGGGGTTGCCCCACGAGGAGCCATTTGCTGTAGGCGTGCCAGATGCTAATACTCCTAGTAGTACAACTATAGTGCAGAAGGAAACGAAGGGGACTAGATATAAAGCGTCGCTGCACCGGTGCAACTTGCGTAAAAGAAAACGGACATAGTGGTCCAGGTTCCTATCTGCTTCGCGAACTCTAAGAGGGTGAATGCAGCTCCTTGGTGAGATATATTGATCGCCTTCTCCCTGAGACACAGCAAAACCTGTGTGCATGCTGTTTGACTCTTGTAGGTACGGCAACAAGCATACGCTAAAGAGTGACATTTGGTTCGCATTTGCAGTGAGTATGCCTCCGCAGCTGTAGAAACCCGGACGCAATAACAACACCACCTAAATCTACACATTGATGGTTTGCTCAATAAATAAGCAGCAAAGGACAATAATATGCTGATTATTTACAGGGTATATAGTTATGATGGGTTTGCCGTAAGCTTCAACAAGAGAATCAACACTTCTTGTTCGCTGCAGGCGTGTGTCGCAGCACACGTCAACGATCGGACCCGTTTGGGATTGGAGACAAATGCCATTTGCAATTCCTTCAAATATTCTCTCGCAGTTCCCTCCGACAAGTCTAGGTGCGGCGGTTCCCGTGTTCTCTGTTCTTTTTAGTTGTGCGCCCCGCTATCTTTCCCATGACTGTGGGTTCTAAGCTATATCTAAGAAGAAATCGCCTTTGTTTTCATCCTTCGTCTGTGCAGTTCTTTTTACTCATGATATTCAATATGAAACGGGAGTGCTGTTCCATGAACGACTCCGAAGGGCCGGAGTTTCAACAAGTCTGTTCATCGCCCCTGGTGAGTCATTACGGCATTACCTATATTCCTCTAGTCCGTGGTTCAGCACATCTCCCTAGTCTAGTGCTGACGATGTGCAGCTGATGAGTGGACTTGTGCCATCATGTAGTTGGTGAACGCCCAGCACACACCCTAAGCCTTAAGCCGTAGGCATTTTTATGATACTTTTGTGCATTTGCTTGTCTTTTACAGGGATGCACGCTTTTTTCGGGTCGGATAGTTGGAGTACCTTCGGTGTGCAGACAGTAGAATGGGCAATTCAGCGAATTATTAATAGTCTAAATGCCGATCGTGTAGAGCAGGACGCTCAGTAGACGGTCAGCAGACGCAATGATGAGCAACCTGAGGAAAGAATGATTTGAGCTTTGTTAGCGTACAAGAGGCAAAGTCAAAAAACAAGATTTCCTGAGTTGTAAAAGGAGGGAAGGCATGTTGTGCGCTAAGGGCTCCAGCAATATAATTGAGGATATGCTGGATAATATTATATTACTGAAGCCCTTAGCAGAAAGGTGATGGCTACAGGGAAATTGAGTATAAGTTGGGTAATATCTCCCTGTAGCCATCATGCTCCTTTATAAGATCAATACTTTTAACAGTCTCGATGCAGCCGCGCCTGCGGCGGAAGGTCCAGCAGCAGGTGTTGAGGCCTGCTTCTTATTGGTCCTCCAATTCTGTATTATTTGTACACAGAACCGTCATAAAGTGTTAATTAAGGGCTTAGCTGTGTTTCCCTCTGTAGCAGAAACATTCCATAGTATCATTAGCTAAAGCCCCTCTACCTTGCTAGCTTGCAGGTTACTGAGTTGTTTTCAAGCAGCTGTTGATTATTCTGGCTAGGCGTTCTATTTGGCGTTTGCTCTATCGGCGTGTCGTACACCTTTGCGCGCAGCCCAAAACTATTTGCCTTTGATATATGCAGACTCTGCACCGACGGCCTAGCATCCCGTGCCAGTACCAGGTTCTACCGTAGATTTGTTGCTAGAAATGGGGCCCTGTGCCTGTGTGGGCATCCTGTCACGTGACATCTTGCCTCCTGGAAAGCTTGGCGCAGAATGTCTACGTACTAATTATTCTAGTTTGTTCAAATGAGTGTGCCTCTCGTAGATGAAAACGAGTTTTATGGAAACGATAACTGCATTCCTAAAGGCAGTAAGCAGAGAATTCCCAAAACGCGTGTGTGTTGTGCATTTAAAACATTTGTGTTGAACGCGTTTTGGGGAGAGTGGTGGCTCTGTTGACATTACTAACTTACGTTTGAGGGAGTTATGGGTTATGCGATGCAGCCACCGGGTGGATTCGCAATTTCTACTGAATTTTTGTCCCTTAATTTCAGCAATATTTGACAGATGTTTGGGGACTGTACCATGAGAAACCAAACACCTAGCAATTCGAAATAGTTTCAATAAAGTTTGCAGTATTCCCTTGATTTTCTGTTATTTTACCTGTACACTGTGTTTCCCCATACAAGAACATACATATACAGGCAGGGCAGCATATGTATGTTTATATATATAAGAACATCGCCAGTTCCTTTGAAATGGTGATGGTATACAATGAAGGAAATCTCGTTACGGGAGAAGGTTGAACTACCTTAGATAAAGACAGAAACGAAATATTTATTCTCCTCATAGAAACAAGAAAATTCAAGTTAATATTGGGGGAAATAAAAGAAATCGCGTTTTTAGTTACAGTTATACACATCTTCATCGTGTATGCTGTGCTTTAGTTAACCTAACGATCTAATGTTGGCGTATAAGAACAGACTCTGCAGATTTTGATCGACAAGGGGAGGGAACGTAAACACTTAACTAAACTTCAAGAAAAGAACGCAGTAAATGCTCAATATGCATTGTTGTAGTTATGAGGGAGCTGTTAACACCACTGAGCAGGAAGCGCAGCATCAAACGCGGCAGCTATGTCGTGTCCGAGTGGGAGGCTTTGTTGGTTCGTTATTGTTCTCTTTCTCCATTAAATTTTTTACAATGAAGATCAACGCAAACATAGCTATTTTTTAAACAATATCCATATGATGGACACAACTTTTCCCTCATATTAGGTATGCTTTCAGGTTAGCATGATCGGAGTGTCACGTCGGGGGCGCTCCCTACAGGTCACTTTTTCCGGTAATCCCTTTTTCATTTTTTCACTTAATTAACTTTGTGACTGAAATGTCCAAACAAAAATTCATCAAATGACCGGCCGCTCGTGTTGGGACACACATGTTGGGAATGGCCACAAAAGCTCCGCCCCTCCTGCCCCTGCTGCTCTTCTTCCTCTTTGTTTGCCGTTTCAGTAGTTCAGCAGCTTCTCAACATCTTGATTTGTTTGATGAAGGCTTTGGAGTAGAGGGAGTGCATGATGTTTCAAGACCGGAAGCAGTAGCAAGTGCTACTGCTGGAGGAGATGGGCGAGATGGTGGCGGAGCGTTGGAACAGGTGATGAATCCAGGCTTGAGGCCTGTGAACATGGAATGGATTCGTGGTGCAGGGAAGAAGTTTGGGTTGCACGCTCTGGGTTCTGCTGAGGCCTTGTTACTGCTGGCAGTTTTTATTGCCGCAGGGATGTTTGCTGTTGCTCTCCCCAAAGAGAAGAGGGTCCCCACAGTGCCTCAAGAGAAGGATAGCTGTTGAAACCTCGCAACACGTTTGGAGGATATTAGTCTAAAGCTGGTCAAGCGAAATCGACTAGTGGAGATAGAACTTGACGTGGCAAATCTAGAAGTTCAAGGGCGAATTGCTTCCGTGTTGCTGGAGGTTGCACGCTCAAGCCAGGTGGACAGGACACGACCTGTGTCACCTGAGGAAGCAAATCTCCTGGCGAAGTGGGACCGGCTGCATAAAGATACGCAATCGGAGCTCAATTTGCTACAACAGGAACTACAAGTGATAAAGAATGAGAGACGCCTGCTGGACGTCACGCTTCCAGCCACCCAGGCAGTGGGTGCATCAGCACGTGCAGCCAGGCTTCTTCGGGACCTACTCAAAGAGCTGTCAGAATTCTTGTCCAGCCAAACGTTTGCTGGTGCCAAACAACTTGTGATAGGTGAGACAGGCATGGACGACATGACGTCTGGTGTGAATCAGCTTATGGAGATGCCAAGAACGGTGAAACCCATTGTGGAAGCAGTAACAGTATTGGTAAGTAAAAGTATTGGAAGTGGGACATCAGGTAGAGGTGCAGCTGTCCTGTCTAAAGACCCTCCCTTGGACTTCTCAATTGTTGCTAGAAAATCTTGAAAAGCTACTCGTATATGTGCTACAGAGTGCGATAGTGGCAAGGGCCACAGTCGAGGACCGTGCGATCGAGATTAGCCGGGCCGCGCCTAGTGGCATAGTTACATCATTAGATATCCTAGCAAAGGACACGTCAGCATTCACAGAGCATTGCAAAAACATGTGGCAGGTGACTGCGGAGGTGGAGGTGCTGACGGTGTTAAGGGGAATGGTAGAAGATGCTGAAAAGACCCAGGAAACTGCGTTAGATATGACTGGAGGTGGCACGCGCCTGCAGCCTGGAGAACACCAGCTGGTAGGCGAACTCGAGAAAAAACTGGAGCATGCAGTAAGAACAGCAAGACAAGCAGATAGTCTTTCTGCTGTTGTGGAGGCAGTCCGTCAGTATGCTTATGCTAGCGGGAAGCTGTTGGAACTAGTGTGGATGCCACAATTCAACGTATAGAACAACCACCCAGCAGAAGCAGCAAATGTGTAGGAAACTCAAAGGGCTGAGGAGAAACTAAGACAAAAGAAATGCACCTAAGGAGAATCGTTGGAGAATTGGGAAGTACGATAGAACCATCAGGGTTGTGGCGATTCTTCGGCAGAAGGTAAATCAGCACGATGATACAACGGAAATGAAAGCGATGCTGAACAGAAGGATGATGACCGAGCTACAATGGAGGCGAAAGACTGACGGGAAATTTTGTGAATATAGATATGCCTCAAGAGAGGAAGGGAGACAAATGCAGGCATCAAGCAAGTAGCCGAAAGTGCGAGGCGCAGTCTCTAACGAAATAGCGAAGGAAACAGGAGCGGTGGCAAGGAGATGAAGGAGGTCCCCTGCTACGTGGGAGCATATTCCGGAGGATGGATGGCAATTATTTTTTTCTCTTAGAAGCTGAAGACAGGCTATATGATACGGGAGACGGAAGATGGAAAACAGGTGCCATGACACTGAAGGATGGCGCGTACCATCGACGTGTTGGGTGTAGCATTGGTAATATAGGGCCGGCACGGTGAGTGCAGGCTGAGATAACCACACAAAAAGATTTAGATGCATTGTGAGATATAAGATGTATCCGTGCCTCCAAATGTAAGCAGACAGCAGAGTGTCACATGCTGTAGCTGACGGCAACAGAGGAGAGAGTTGCAGTTTGGCTTTGTCCTGCTGTAGTGCACGGGCAGTTTCAATAGGCTCCCCACTGAGTCTTGGGCGAGCGAATTCGTCTTTGAGTACAATATAAATATTATTTAGTATTTAATAGGGAGACTTTAGACCACAATAGTGGCCGAATGTGCAACACGTTCCTACAGCCCTCAACAGGCCATGGGGCTGGCTGATCCTCGACGACTGCCTCAGGATGAGGCGGGCGGCACTTCCTCTATTTGAGGAAGACATACTTTTTAGGAAACCGGCTTGTTGAAACTTTAATATTTGGAGAATGGTGTTTTATGGTTTCTAGACTAATATTCGTATCGCCCGGAATTAGTCAAGCGGTGTTGCGCAGGTCAAAGATCCACGTAGTGTCAGCTAGGTGACTGGACTGCTTACCACACCTCCCGACTGAGTTGCAAATTCTTTGCCAATTTTGTTCTTCAGAAGGAACATAATCAAGTGCTTAGAATTCAGTAATGATACGTATGAAATAGTCCTAATAGGTTATTGTGCTTAGTGGGGAAGGCGGGAGGGGGCCTGTCAACACCACTGAGCTGGATGGCCGCGCAGCCTTATCGGCGGCAGCTAAGTTGTGTCCGAGCGCTTGGTCGTGGGTGTTGTGGGAGGCATGGTTGGTTTAGGGTTCGACGTAGTTTTCTGTCTCCATTAAATCTTGTTTTACAATGAAGATCAACGCAAACATAGCTATTTTTTAAACAATATTTATATGATGGACTCAACTTTTCCCTCATTTTAGGCATGCTTTCAGGCTAGCATGATCGGACTGTCAAGTCCGGGGCGCTCCCTACAGGTATCTTTTTCCGGTAATCCCTCTTCCACTCTTCGGCCAAGTTAACTTTGTGACTGAAATGTTCAAACGAAAACTTATTAAACGACAGCCCGCTCCTGCTGTGGTGCAGTTGCTGGGAAGACCCACAAAAGCTCCGCCCCTCCTGCCCTTGCTGCTCTTCCTTTTCTTTGTTTGGCGTTGCAGTAGTTCAGTAGCTTCTCAACATCTTGATTTGTTTGATGAAGGCTTTGGAGTAGAGGGAGTGCATGATGTTTCAAGACCGGAAGCAGTAGCAAGTGCTACTGCTGGAGGAGATGGGCGAGATGGCGAAGGAGCGTCGGAGCAGGTGTTGAACCCAGGCTTGGGGCCTGTGAATATGGAGTGGATTCGTGGTGCAGGGAAGAAGTTTGGGTTGCAAGCTCTGGGTTCTGCTGTGGCCTTGTTACTGCTGGCAGTTTTTGTTGCCGCACCGATGTTTGCTGTTGCTCTTCCCAAAGAGAAGAGCTTCCCCACAGCGCCTCAAGAGGAGGGGAGGAAGAAGGAGGAGGAAGAGAAAGAGGATGTGAGTGAAGAGGAGAAAGGGGAGGAGACTCCGAGGAGCAAAGACCTGAAAGACAAAGGGGAATGGGAAACAGCTGGGGGAGAAAAGGAGCAAGAAGACAAAAAAGGAGAATTTGAGGAAGAACGCGCAGCTGCTCAGTTGGAGCGGTTGAGGCGGCTGCAACGCTGCGTTCCCCATGCAGTTCTTTTAGATGATGCTCTGAATGGACCGCGACATCCTGTGTTTCAGCAGGAAATCACGAAGCATGTAGAAACTGCGACGAAGCACCAGACTGCTGCAGCCAATGGGGAACCTGGAGCGTTGGCTGCGCTTACTGCTGAGAACCAAGAAGCAGAGCGCCTGGCTCTGAATGTTCAGAATCGGGCATGGAAAGCTGTATCAGCTAATGTAAGGACACTGGCTTCGTGCACCAGTGCATCTGTTGTAGCTGGTATCCCGGCAGCAAGATTCTTTCTTAAGAAAACAGGAGTCATATTATCATATCACAATGCCTGGGAACAAGCTGTGGAGCTATGCCAGGGTAGAATTGTCTCCCTGCAGGAGGCTGGAGAAACAATAGAGAAGCGGCGACCGGGCTTGCCTTCACTACAGCAGAAACAGCTGATGCTGCAGCCCAGGCAGTTTTCTGCTGCGCGGGTGGCATTGAAAACCTCCCTTTCTTGTGTAAAATGGCAAGACAGAGCACAAGGAGAAGCAAGGAAGCTGGGGCGAATTTATTTGAAGCTGGTCAAGAGCGCTCGAGTGGCCGAGCTAGAGCTTCAACAAGCCAATCTAACAATAAAAGAGCAAGTTGCCTCCATGTTGATAGGGATTGCACGCGCAAGCCTCGAGGACGGGACACGACCATTGTCAGCTGAAGAAGCAAACTGCTCGAAGAAATGGGACAATCTGTATAGGGGTGCGCAAGCGGAGCTCACGGCACTGGAGCAGCAACTGCAGGCGTTGAAAGATACGACAAACCTGGTGGACATCACGAATTTAGAGCCAGGGACAGCGAGGGCATCAGAGCGTGCAGGAATGCTTCTCCAGGGCCTACTCAATAAGCTGTCAAAATTCTTGTCCAGCCAAACGTCACTAAGTGCCAACCAGCTTCCGAATGATGGGACACGCATGGAGGACGTGGTGTCTGGTGCGAAGCAGGTTGTGGACTTGTCAAGAGCGGTGAAACCCATTGTTGAAGCAGTAACAGCAACCGAAAAGCAAGTATTGGAGGTGGGACACCAGCTAGAAATGCAGTTATCCGGGTTAAAGAACCTCCCGTGGGTGCCTCAGCTGTTGCTGGAAAATGCTGAAAAGGAACTCAAGTCTGTGCTAGAGAGTGAGAAGGTGACAAGGGAGGCCATCGAGGACCGCGTAACCGCGATGGGCCGAATCGCGCCTAGCGACATAAGTACATCATTAGATGCACTAGAAGAGTACACATCAGCACTCACAGAGACGTACAAGACTATGGGGGAGGTGAATGCAGACGTGGAGACGCTTTTTGTGCTAAAGAAAATGGTAGAAAATGCTCACGATGCCAAGGAATCTGCCTTAGAGATGATAGCAGCATCCAGTGTCCTGCAACCTGCCGACCACCAGCTGGTAGGCCAACTCGAGAAACAGCTGGAGCATGCCGTAGCAACAGGAAGACAAGCAGATAGTCTTTCTGGTGTTGTGCAAGCAGTAGGGGAGTATGCTTCTGCTAGCGGGAAGCTGGTGCAAATGGGATGGGTGTCAAAGTTAGATAGTCTGCTTGAAAGTGACCCAGAAGGAACAACAGAGTTGCAAGCAATTGAGGCAGTTCCGTTGGAACTCCAGTCCACTGCAGCTGAAGTAGTGGCTCAAGACCGGAATGTCGAACAAGAAAAGGCACAAGTTCAAGCAGCAGCAACAACAACGGTAGGGAACCAGAGAGAAGACTTTAGTAGACAAACAAAAGCAGAAACACAGCGAGGAGAAGACCATGAAGAAGAGGTGCATGACGGAGGTGAGGGGGGAGATGATCAAACAGGCTATGAAACAGCTTCCAAAAGTGCAGGGGACGAAGGAAGCGAGAGTGGAGACGAATACGAGGATGCACAAGAGTGGGCAGGAAGTTCATAAAGACAGCAAGTAGAACAGTGTGAAGAGGAAGAAGAGCATGTATGCATGAAAGGGATGCAGCAGGTAAAGAGGAAGACAAGAGAAATGCATTTAAGGAGAATCGTTAGAGAATTGGGAAGTACGGCAGAACCGTATATGTGATGGCGATTCTTCGGCAGAAGGTAAATTAGCAAGAGGACACAACGAAGAAGAAAGGTACGTTGAACAGAAGGATGAAGACGGAGCGCCACTGCATGCGGCCGACTGGTTGGCGATTTGGTGCGTACATAGGCAGAAGGTAGGGAAGAGAGGAAGGGAAACAAAAAGGAAGAAGAAGGGGAAGCAAAGAGCTGACAGCACGGGGCGATGTCTCCGTAAATATCAACAAAGGAGACAGGAGTTGTTGCAAGGAGGGGATGGAGGCAAGGAGAGGTCCCCTGCTAGCTGGAAACATACACGTAAGGAAGGAGAGCGCAAGTGTGTTTCTCCTCCTAGAAGCTTAAGACACAGAATAGGAGAGAGGAAATAAAGAATATGATACAGGTGCTGAGACACTGCAGAGTTGCTCATACTCATGTCACGACATGCTGTGTTCAGCATTCGTGAAATACAGCCAGCACATTGAGTGCAGGCTATGAGATGACAGCACAGAGAGAAAAAGCGAGAGAGAAGGATGCATAACGAGATAGAAGAGGTATTCGTACCTCCAAAAGTAGACAAACAACAGAGATATACAGGATGTACCCAACGACAGCAGGCGAGGGAGAGAGTTACAGTTGCAAGACCTTTGCAGTTTCAAAGAGTTTGCCGATTTGTATCGACAAAGGAGAGGAAACCACACATATATTATTAAATAATAATGCATGCCAATAAATTGCCGTAATATATTTTTGTATTGTGTTAGATGGTACACTGTAAGGACCAATGAGCAGGAGGAATGAAGACAAGCCTGCCTGCAGGTACAAAGAGTTTGCCGATTTGTATCGACAAAGGAGAGGAGACCACACATGTATTATTAAATAGTAATGCATGCTAATAAATTGCCGTAATATATTTTTGTATTTTGTTGGATGGTACACTGTATGGACCAATGAGCAGGAGGAATGAAGACAAGCCTACCTGCAGGTACAAAGAGTTTAACGATGTGTATCGACAAAGGAGAGGAAACCACACATGTATTATTAAATAATAATGCATGCTAATAAATTGCCGTAATATATTTTTGTATTTTGTTGGATGGAACACTGTAAGGACCAATGAGCAGGAGGAAAGAAGACACAAGTCGGCCTGCCTCATCGGTCGGTGGCGACACCTATTGTATGGTGCAAGAGCACTACAACAGGGAGGCCCTCCGTTTATTCTATGGCGAGTAAACTCGTCTTAGAGAAGAAAATAAATATTATTTAGTGTATAATTGTGTATTTTTAGGCCAAAATTCTTGTCTAACGGGCAACTCGTGCCTACCAGCCCAAAGGAAATAAATAGGGCTGCCTAACCCGCGATGCCTGCCTTTTAAGAGGATGAGGCGCGCGGTTCTTCCGCTTCTTGAGGAAGTCCGACCCATAAAAAAACACCTTTTTAAGCAATTTGTAGTCTATATATAAT